AAACCTTTCATAATGCAAGGAAGAGAAACCTTTCATAATGCAAGGAATAGAAACCCTTCCATTCCTTACTCTCCTGTCCAAGCTGAAGTAGCTTCTGGATTGAGAAGCGAAACGTCTTCAAAGAAAAATCAAAGAAGTCCAGTTGCCTCCCCCCAAAAAGCACCTTTGGGTCTGCCGAAAGGACTGTGTTGTAGACAGGAGATTGTTTTCTGTCCTAGGCTTCCCCAAAAAGCACTAAGCAGACCCTTTTTGTCCTGGCAAAACCCCTTTTATTAAACGAAGGTGAATTTCTTGCGTTCACATTCAGCCAAAGGCCTGACAAACAGTCTTTCAAGGGTCTAATGAAGAGCCTCATCTACCTTGGAGAGCTGCCAAGTAAATATTTCCAAACGCAGTGCTGACAAGGAAGGTCTCAGCACAGAGTCTCAGAGATGCACAGACAGATCTTCACACCTCTGCAACGAACGAATTGTTTCCTGCACAAGCCCCTTCCCCTTTTGCTCCTATTTTAATCCCTATGGGAGGAGCCATTCACCGTACACCTGTGACCTTAATCCCACGTCAGCCCTGAGTTTTTAATTGTTCTTTTCTTTTGGCAGCTCTGCGCATGTGCAGGCTGGGAACAGGCTCCAGCTGTTCTTCTGCCCTACTGATCTCCGACTCCCAAGGCAGCTGATGAGTGCCAGCCTACCCTGTCCCCATCTCTGCCTCTGATGCAGAGCCCTCATCCAAGTCTTCAGGACTGGCCCATGTTCCTCCCAAACATCTTCATTGTCCGACTTGGCTGCCAGCTCCGTCAGCCGCCACAACAGATAGATGATATCGTGTCCCTCCCTGTCTCTGTTGAGAGAGGGCTGTTCAATGTTGACATTGGTGGCCTAATTCATGGCTTCCTTTTTTTGAGCAGGGTGAAGATGGAGATGCTCAGTGAATTTGACAATGAATCCCCGCTCTACGTCTCCTTCTGCAGGAGGATCTCTCCAGAGGACTTTGAGAGACAGTCTCTGACTTACACACAGAAAGCTTTGCGGGAGCTTTTCATCCACATGGAACAAAATCCAGACATCTGTGCATCCATTGTGCAGAAGAGAAAGCAGCTGGACAGCAAGGATGCCGGATTGATGTCCTATGTGAAGGTACGGTTTAGGTTTTACCGGAAAGTGGTAGAAAGAGATACAGGCTGTCTTGGACTCAACGAACGTTCATTTAGGAATCGTTCAAAGTTACAATGGCTGTTGAGAATGAAACTTTTTCAGCTACGTGCCTCTTCATTGGTTGGAATTGAGAGGAAGGAGTTGGAACAGAAAATAGCAAGGATTTGTAGAACTGAAATCTGATGTTATCTAGGTAAACAGCAGAGGTGGTATTCAGCCGGTTCGGACTGGTTCTGGAGAACCGGTAGCGGAGATTTTATTTTATTTTTTTTATAAAAGTTTTTTTTAAAATTTTACACATCTCTTCACGTGAGCAATTTGATTCTGGATTATAACACTTGTACATAGTCATACTTTCATTTCCATTAATCTTATATAATATCATCTCATATCATTATCCATTTCACTCATCTTTAAATAAATTTGAATTTCATATTTCAATTCATTAATTCAATATCTATATCATTTCATCCACATATAGGTTTTCAATTCTTTATCCCCTATTATTTCCATTTTCAGCTTACCACCTATTTTATTTTACATTATACATCATTATTATCCTTAATTTTCTCTAAGCCGATGTATAATAATCTAAAAAGAGTAAAAGTAAAATAGATTTAGGATATAATATATTTAGGATCCACTTGGTATTTTTCATTCCCCTACTTTAATTCATATATATATATATATATATATATATATATATATATATA